CAAATCATATGACTTTTCTCCTTAGCACTATTAATACAATGGATCATATTGGTGGATTTTTTTTGTTATTTAACGATGCTTGTTCATGTTATGACTGGAACCAGTCTCACTTAGCCACAATACATTCTTTTTTAAATGGACTTTGGATTTCAGCTGTTGATATTTGATATTTGATATTTGATTTTTGAACCCTACTCACAAGTGAGAGTCTTCTGTTTTTTTCCTTTTGGTGCTCTTTCAGTTTTGAGATCAATATCATAATGGCTTTAATAACAGGAATTTTGAAAAATTCTTTCTTCTAGAATAAGTAGCTTTGAGATTATCCATTCTTTAAAGGTTGGGTAGAATTTCCCTGTGAAACTATCTAGGCTAAGTTCTTTTTATGGGGGAGAATTTGAGCCCCTTTATCTTGGTCTGTGATAATTGCCGTGTTAGACATTCTTTACTGGGGCCAATTTTAGGTAAGTTGTTTCTTTCTAAAAAATTATCTATTACATCTGCATTTTCAGATCTGTTTGCACAGGGACATGGGAAGTACCCTCTAAAGACTTTTAAAATTTCCTCTGCTTTTGGTGATTATTTTTCCTTAGCATTTCTAATTTTAAGCTTTCATCTTTTTTCCTTTTATTCTTTCTTTGTCATACTAGTGGTTTTTCGATTTTGTTAATTTTTTCCAAAGACTCTTTTTGGATTTATTTATCAGTTTCATTGTTTTTCTCTTTTCCAACTTAATAATTTTTGCTTTCAGTTGTCTTTAAGGTGTCTGTAACTGGCAGATTTGTAAGGTAATTCTGATCCCAGATTTGAGAATTACAGCTGTGGTACATGTAGTTTTTTACTAGAAATTAGTCTTCTGATGCCCTAGGTCTTCCATTACACATGTTCTCATGTCATTGCACATTTTTTGTGTGTGTATGTGCATCTTATTTCTGCAACAGATGGAAGCTCTTTGAGGCCAAGGCTCTGTATCATATCTGTTTGGGACGATAAATATTGATATTGTGGAGATGAGGTTAGAAAGTTAATGTAGGTGTGAGAACCTATAGTAGGCAGTGTCCAAAATGGCCCCTGGTAATCCATACATCCTACTATTCATGCTCTTGTTTTGTTTTTTTTTTTAAGATTTTATTTATTTATTTGACACAGAGAGAGATAGCGAGAGCAGGAACACAAGCAGGGGGAGTGGGAGAGGGAGAAGCAGGCTTCCCGCCAAGCAGGGAGCCCAATGTGGGACTCGATCCCAGGACCCTGGGATCATGACCTGAGCCGAAGGCAGACACTTAACGACTGAGCCACCCAGGCACCCTCATGCTCTTGTCTTATACCCTCTCCCATTGAATGTGGGCTGGACCTACAGACTGGCTTCTAGTAAGGAGACGGTGACAAAAGTATTAGAGTGTGACCTCCAATATCAGATCATAAAAGATGGCTACTTTGTCTTGCTCTGATTCTGTCTCGGATTCTCTCTATTTGATGAAGGAAGCTGCTGGGTTGTGAGCTGTCCTATGGAGACACCCGTATGGCAAGGAAGAGAGGGTGGCCTCTGGCTAATGGCCCACAAAGACTGGAAATCTACCAACCACCACTTACGTGATTGTGGAAGCTAATCTATCTACCCCTTTAGCTGAGCCTTGAGATTACAGAAACTTTGTGAGGAACACAGAGCCGGAGGACCCAGTTAAGATGCTCCTGGACTCCTGCCCCACAGAAACTTCAAGATAATAAATGCTCCAATTTTAAGCCACTATTTGTGGGATAATTTGTTATGCAGCAATAGATAACCAATACAGAATCCCAACCCTGGATATGTCTTGATCTAGGAAATATTGCCAAGTTGAAAACTGAATGGTTTGGTTGAAATGTGGAAGTGACCTGCTCTGTAGAGAGAGAACTCTAAATCAGAATTTAAAATAATGCAGTTAATACCAAAGTTTTTCATTTAAAAGGCATTTTGGCATCGACTTCTTTTAATTCCTCATTTTGATTCAACAAAGAGATGACAGGTTTCCCTTTGAATTTACTTATTTTTAGTGCTTTCTTTAAAAAAAAAAATTGTATCTGCACATGAGTATTTAGAATGTGTCAAATTAAAGACAGACTGCCTAGATAAAATTGGGCAGATGATGGGTGGAATTATAACATAGATTTATATTTTACAACATTTAAACCAACATTGGTTTGATTTCCATACCTGATTGTCCACCAAAAATCTGTCCTCCCTGCTTTCACAGAAATATAGTTAAAGCTGGACATAGGCTGTCCTGCTAGAGATAATATTTGCAAGCCTGTCTTGGGCCATGTGACTGTGTTCTTACTAATGGAACCTAAGCCACTGCTCAGGACACTCAGGGATTTCAGATGTGCCCATCACCCAGCTTCAATCATGCAGAAGACGATAGTGACCTTGGGCTTGGTCCCAGGGGGGTGGGGCAAGGGTCATCTTGAAAAGAATCTGAGTTACTGTGTACTGTCATGGAGCAGGGCCTCCTACTAACCCAGACTTCTCACCTTGGAACTCTTATATGAAAGGGAAATAAAAAGCTGTGCTCTTTAAGCCACTAGATTTGGGGTCTCTTTGTTACAGTAGCTTAACATTTACTCTAATGAATACTTCCATTGCCGTTCCTTTAAAATATGTCACTTAGTAATTATTATATATACACAATTAAGCAAAGTACAAATACCTGGATTTCTGCCCTGGGGGTGAAGGAGGGGAGCCAGCAAAATCTATTTCTCCCAGGCATGGCTAGTGTTAAACTGTCCAAACAACTACAGGTTATTTTTCCTGAATCAACTTTATTTATTAAATGCATGACTTCAGGCTACCTTGTAACTTCTCCACTAAATGTTATGCTAGAGCAGTCCTTCAGCGTACCATTTCTCGAGGACATTGATTTTTGTTAGATTGGTTGTGAAGTTTATGTTCAGAACATCAGCCTGTGCCCTAAAAGAGAGGATCAGGGGAAGCATGCGGATCACTGCCAGAAGTCACTGCCTTTTCAGTCTCGCTCAAATTGTTCAGAGCCAAATCCTCCTGAAGATTCCTTCCTAAATTGAATGGCTCTGGCCCAATACAGAATGCTACGGCTATCTCACCAGGTTGCCTTATAGAGCTTATCTAAAGATTTTTCACAATAGCCTTAACAAGACAAGAAGCACAGATTATTATTTTATCACAGGGAAAAAAATCAAAGCACACTGTGATATCACAAGTCCCTGGAGGCTGGAGCCATTACTTGGTCCTCCAAGGAGATAAAGTACATTATCTGAATGTGCAAGTCTTTGGTCTTATGTTACATGCGCCATGCTTGCTTTGCTTCTTTTTTCTTTTTTTTTTTTTTAAGATTTTATTTATTTATTTGACAGAGAGAGACACAGCGAGAGAGGGAACACAAGCAGGGGGAGTGGGAGAGGGAGAAGCAGGCCTCCCGCCGAGCAGGGAGCCCGATGCGGGGCTCGACCCCAGAACCCTGGGATCATGACCTGAGCCAAAGGCAGACGCCCAACGACTGAGCCACCCAGGAGCCCCTTGCTTCTTTTTTCTAATTGAGAGAAAGGAAAATTAAAGCATTAAATCTCAGAGCTACACCCCTCAAGTGTCTTCATGGGAGAACCTATTTCTTTCACACATAAAAAGAATAGGTCCTGCCTTAGTCCAACTTTAGCTTTTAAAACTAAACGGTAGGGTTTTGTCCCAGGGGCTGTAAATGACAGCGACGTTGGGGAGAAGAGATGTCTGCTTCCAGGACAGGATAGCTCTGTGTGTCACACAGCTGGATTGTGAGAGCAGCCCTGCGCTTCTTTTGTAAACTAAGTATCTCCCAAGTGTCATTGCTTTCTTTGTCACTTTGATCTTGTTCTCCATCAGGATTGGGAAGGAGAGCAGAAACTAAGGCATGAGGGAGACCAAACCATCCTTGAAAGCTATATCCTAAAGACTTCCTGATCCAAAAGGACAGCTGGATAAACAGGAAAGTGGCAGGTGTTTGTTCATAGCCATTTGTGCAACCAAATACTCAGTAGGCTTTGCATGAGCTACCAGTAACAGGCAACCTCCTGCTGTCAGCTGAAGACAGAAAGAGAAGGATTGCACTTTTGCTGCAGGCTGATCAGCTCCTCCTAATTTGACTGTGCATCTCACTCCTTGTCAGGAAGTGCAGAGACCCTCGTGGGGGGAATCTCAGCGCTCCTAGGAGATTCAGGAGGGAGGGAGGAAAACCAAGGGCACCTGCAGGACGTTTCCTTTGCTCCTCGCCTTCTGAGATCTTTAAAGCAGGCAGGGAGGGGTGCGGTGGGATGTCACATCCTCCTCCCCGCCCTTCACCTGGTTCCATTAGGGTCTAAAGGTCGTGAACGACCTTGTTGTGCCTCTCCAGTGCCCTTTTGTAATCAGAGGCAGAGCAAAAAAAGAAGGGAGGGGCAGCATCATCTTTCCCAATGCAGAAAACTGAGAAAGAGTAGCGTTTCCTCCACACCCGTCTAAAAGTGTTCACCACTTGCCAAATCACAAGAGCAGGCGCAAGGACTCAGAGGATGATTCATGTATACTTCAACCTCCTCGGTTCTTGAGCAAGGTCGAGGAGGTCGTGCTTCGGGGAGACGTTGCATCACAGTTTGGGAAAAACTTGGGGATTTTCCTTAGAGGGCTCATTCTTCCAGGAAGCAGGCAAAGAAAGACAGGAGTAGACGCCTGGGTGCGGGAAGCTGGAAAGAAATCCGACCTCACCTTGGGCTCAAGAGTGAAAGTGGGGTCACTCCGGGACCAGCCCGCGCATGGCAGGAAGGACTCCCGTTGGTCTACACGTGCTCGGCCGCTCCCCATTAAGTGGCACTTACGCGCCAGCCCGAAGGGACCGGCGGGGGGTGGGGGGGTGGGCGCGGTGGCACAAAGAGAGGCGCGGTTTAGACACCTGTGCGCCTCCGCCTAGTTGCAAGCAGGCCGGACGCCAGGGACCGCCCGAGCCCTTCCGAGCCCGCGGGGAGGGCAAGGAGGGCGGACGTGCCCCGCGCGAGGTGGAGGAGGTCACCTGGGCGGCCGCGCGCGCGGGTCGGCGCTAGGACCCGAGCGGCGCACCTGTTGGCCGGCGCCCCGGGCCCCGCCCGCCCTCCGCCCCGAATGCCCGGCCCGGCGAGCGCCCGAGCGGCGGGGACAGTGCGAGCCGAGGGCATCGGCGTGGTGGTGTTGGCGCGCGGCCCCGGAGCACCATGGCCGAGCTGCTGCGGAGCCTGCAGGATTCCCAGCTCGTCGCCCGCTTCCAGCGCCGCTGCGGGCTCTTCCCGGCGCCGGATGAAGGCCCCCGCGCGAACTGCGCGGGCCCGGCGGAGGGTGCGGCGCGGGGGCCAGCGCAGCTCCCCGCGGCCAACGGCAAGGGCGGCCGGGGGCCGGCCAACGGGCTGCGGAGACTCGCGGCCCCGCAGGTAACCGCGGCCAGGTGTTCGCCGGGGTGGGGGAGGGGGCAGCCCGCGCCGCAGCCGCGGACGTGCGGGTCCCGCGGAGTCCGCGACGCGGGGACGGGCGAGCGCCATCCCCGGCGGCGACCCGGCTCCGGGCGCGGGGTTCGGAGGGCGGAGGGGGCGGGGAGTCCAGTCACCAGGATGCCACCTCTGCCGCTGCCAGGTAGCACCCCCGTCCGTTCCGACATCACATGCACCCGGAGCTTTAGATGCATCTAAAGACTTTCTCCCTTCCTAAGTGAAATTATGTTCGTGAGCTTTCTCCCAAATGTGTAAGAGTTACGTAATTGAAAAGGGGAGGGGAGATGTCCTTGGCGTTTTCGCGAGAGGCTTCTCCGGGGAGAAATTGTGAGGACTCCCGCGGGATTCATGAGTTTCCGCCCCATCCCCCTTCGCCTGATCCGCACTCGAGGGGTGTAGCAGGGCTCGCTGTGCCCTTCACTGTCCTGCATTTCCAGCTCTGAGGACGGAACTTAGGTTTTAATTGCTCCTGGAGAGATCTACAGACTGCACCCCCTACCAGCACCGGGGCAGAAACCCCATCCCCGTCCTGCCCAGTGGGTCTCTTGTAACTGGCACCAGGGACTTCTGACAGATGCAGTCGAGAGAGAAGCTCGCCGCGCTCCCCTCCAGGCTTTCGGAGGGTGGTTATACAACCCACTGCGGCTTTGGGGAGCCGGCCTGGCTGTCATCGCGGTGCAGGGACTCCGGGCGGGAGGGACAGGCTGCAGACGCTAGCGCGCCAGGGCTGCGGGAGGGCTCTCCGCATGGGCCCTGGCCACCCACAGGAGCTGCCCTTGCCCTGGGAGAGCTCAAAGTGTGGCACCAGAGGAAGGAAGCAATGTATTGACGATTCCAGCTCCTTTTGTTGAGGGAGGGGGGAATGAAGAGCCGTTTTGGTGACAGGAAGGTGGCATTCATTTACGTGTAGATTTCCAGATCTCCTAACTGAGGAATTACGAAGAACCTGGCTTCAGTGTGGGATGGCATATTGCCGGCATTGAATTACAAAATTTATTTGAGAGGGTGAGGGTGGGGTGTGTGCTCCATTCTAGAGAAGTCCTCTATAATGTTCCTTTTTTTCTTTATTGTTCCTTCTCTGTTCCACATGACATCTAGTAACTTTTAGGTGAGTTTGAGACCCGCCCACCCCCTTTCCCTTTTGCCTTGTCTTTTTTTTTTTTAATTTATTTTTATTCTTATGTTAATCCCCATACATTACATCATTAGTTTTAGATGAAGTGTTCCATGATTCATTGTTTGTGCATAACACCCAGTGCTCCATGCAGAATGTGCCCTCCTCAATACCCACCACCAGGCTAACCCATCCTCCCACCCCCCTCCCCTCTAGAACCCTGTTTGTTTTTCAGAGTCCATCGTCTTTCATGGTTCGTCTACCCCTCCGATTTCCCCCGCTTCATTCTTCCCCTCCCGCTACCTTCTTCTTCTTCTTTTTTTTTCTTAACATATATTGCATTATTTGTTTCAGAGGTACAGATCGGAGATTCAACAGTCTTGCACAATTCACAGCGCTTACCAGAGCACATACCCTCCCCAGTGTCTATCACCCAGTCACCCCATCCCTCCCACCCCACCCCCCACTCCAACAACACTCAGTTTGTTTCCTGCGATTAAGAATTCCTCATATCAGTGAGATCATATGATACATGTCTTTCTCTGTTTGACTTATTTCACTCAACATAATACCCTCCATTTCCATCCACGTCGTTGCAAATGGCAAGATCTCATTCCTTTTGATGGCTGCATAATATTCCATTGTATATATATACCACATCTTCTTTATCAATTCATCTGTCGATGGACATCTTGGCTCTTTCCACAGTTTGGCTATTGTGGACATTGCTGCTATAAACATCGGGGTGCACATACCCCTTCGGATCCCTACTTTTGTATCTTTGGGGTAAATACCCAGTAGTTCCCTTTTGCCTTGTCTTAAAAATGGGACAGAGTGAGGAGCTAAGAACCAGTCACATACCTGAAATGTGGCAGAGCATCTTCTGTGCACACTGCACGTACACACTGTTTAACACACGGGTAGATGCACGGGCTGCTTTCTGATGCCCTCTCCCCACACTCTTCCTCTGTTCCTCCAATTCAGGAAGCTGAAGCAGGGTGCATTTTCCCACTAACACTTTTCAGACTGTTTTAAACATGACCTGTGGTACTGAAACTCAGTTCTGGAAAAGGATCCTCTTGCCCGTTAAAAGCAAGATAAACAGATGTTTTGCAGAGAGGTGACTTCCACCTGCTTAAAAAGCCTGTGCACTCAGCCACATAGTAGGGGTTTCTCTCCTCCCATCCAACACACGACCTTACTCACTATAGACCATGAAATACTAAGAGGAAGCTAAAAATTCACAGTAAGAAGTCATCGTATTGGTGTATGATGGGAGGAAAAATAGCCCAGGAGAGCATTTGATACATGAGAGCTTAATGAATGTTTTTAAAGGTGGGTCTGTTTCAGGTGACTTGGGAAGATTAATATTTTGCAAATACAGGGAGAATTCAAAAGGAAACATTGCATACCTGTCCCGCATAATTAATAGGACTCTAAGGGGACAGTTTTAATTGCTCCTGGAGAGATCTACAAACTGCACCCCCTACCAGCACCGGGGCAGAAACCCCATCCCCGTTCTGCCCAGTGGGTCTCTTGTAACTGGCACCAGGGACCCAACAAGCTATTCTTCCCCGTGGGCTCTGGCCTCTGCCCAGCCCATGGCTGGCCTGAGCCGCCTGTCCTTTCTCCAAATAACCCCACTCATCCTTCAGTTTCAAAGGTCAGTTCTTCAAGAGACACTTTTGCTCACCTTCGAGTCTCGCTCCCCCTTTTAGAGGTTCTCTTTGTTCCTGGTGATTCTTCATTACAGCATTTAACACATTGCGTAAATAGGCCTTGGGGGGGGGGGCGGGGCGGTATCTGATTATTGCCAATCTGCTCCAGTGGGTGAAAAGCTCTGAGAATGCAGGAAACTTGCCTGGTGTGCTCATTATTTTCTTCACATGGGAGCTCAGTGAATTTTGTGAATAAATGCGTGCAGACCGCAATATAAAATCTGCCCTTTAAAAGCAAGATAAGCAGATTTCTTGCAAAGACTTGTCTTCTTGCTGCTTCAGCAAGCAGAATGGTAGGGGTTTGCCCCTTCTCATCCCAAAGACGACTTCACTCACTATAGATCATGAAAAAGTAAGAGAGAGCTAAAAATTCAAAATAAGAGATTAAAGATTTTTTTTAAATTGAAGAGTAACTATGGAGAATCAAATGTTTTCCACGTAGCCTAGAAATCAGGCAGCACTCGGACACTGATTTAAGACCCTCCAAACAATAGAGAAGTGTGTTCTTCATTTGGGTGGCTTTAGAATGCAATACATCTAATTTTTCTCACCTCCCACATTTGCTGTATTTATTTTAATCCTTAAAACAGAACAAATGCAGAAATGATGAAGGACTTCCTTGACTGATTCTCATGCAACACCAAGCACTGCTAAGTTACAGATTAACTACATCCTTTACAAACCAGGGCTGGGCTGGGGTTGCACAAAACTGTCATTGAATAAATCAGAGTGGACCTCGAGAATGCCCCAGTAGTCATGCCTTTCACAAAGAGGTCTGAGTCCTGAAGGTTTAAAGGCTTTGTTGAGGACTTCCCACATATCCGCAGTCAGATCTTCTGAGCTCAAGTCTAAACTGCTTTCTTCTGTGGACCTTCCAGGGAAAAATTCCAGGGTTCCGTTTCATCTGTCTCACTGTGAAGGTGTGAGGTATTGGGGCTGGCTGGGAGCCTGGCAGAGGTTGGATGGAAGGAGAACAGGTTGCTTTCAGTGCAATGGTAACTGGTTTGCAAGGATAACCATAGGAGGACATTCCTGGCAGTAGCCAAGATCAAGAGGCAGGGATCTTGGGACCGAGGAGGAGGGCAAAGGCCTGGTTAGAATTGTGTTTATTTGTTCTGGGGTAAATCCAGCCTTGGATAGAACGGTATTTTGATTTTTATCGTCTTTGCTTACTCAACACAGTTGCATTAAGACAGACTTTGCAGGCGCCTGGGTGGCCCAGATGGTTAAGCGTCTGCCTTCAGCTCAGGTCATGGTCCCAGGGTCCTGGGATTGAGCCCTGCATGGGGCTCCCTGCTCAGTGGGAAGCCTGTTTCTCCCTCTCCCACTCCCCCTGCTTGTGTTCCCTCTCTTGCTGTGTCTCTCTCTGTCAAATAAATAAATAAAATCTTAAAAAAAGACTTTGCAGAGACTTTCCCTGTCATTACTTTAGACTGGAGTGATCTTTCCAAATTGTACAGTGCTCCATAAATAACCTTCTGATAACTATTTGTTCAGACATAGTTCTACAGTTGAGTTGAGGCAGGGACCAAAGATAGGTTATTTAGAGAAGTCTTTACACCCCTATTTTGAAACATTTGGGGCCCTCCAGGTCTGTCAATCTACAAAAACCCACGCTCCCTTTTATTGGCTTGCTCCAGTACAAAGAACCATCTTAGCAATCAAACCTGGATCTGACTCCACCTCCATGTCACCTTGAACTTCTCTCTGGGTCTCATCTGCAGAACGGGCAGAGTGGAATAGAACTGTGGGTTTTCCACCTGTTAGAGGAACTTTGAAAACACAAACAAAAAACCAATGTCCAGAGTCCAGGTGAGAAGTGGGTCTGGAGAAACTGGCAAACAGAGGTGGGAAGCTCTGAATCCCCTTCTCCTGGGGCCTACCATGCTTAGTGTTTTCAGGACGAGAATGGTGGTGCTGGAGGCTGTGGTCATGGCCAGGGGGACATTTTGGCTTGTTTGTAACTCCACTGGCCAACAGGCCGAACTTCACGTTTTGATTTTCTTTGATGTTCAGGTTTGAAATGGCAAAATAAGCCACTTTGAAAGGGTACCTTTGATCATTTTTTTCTAGTTACAGATATTGTTTAGATAGGAAAACTTGAAAAAATA